TTATAAGGACCCTAGATTTGGTTCTCTGTGTCGTGCCAGGTTTTTCTCGTCTGAGTTCATCCTTCCCTTCTACAAATCTACCATTTGTCAATGCATTGAATACTGTTGTCATATATGGTCTGGTGCCCGCTCTGTTCATCTTGAGGTTCTCAACAAAATACAGACTACTTCTATTATATCAGTAACTGCATTAATTCAAAATGTTTTTTAATGAAAGTACTTTAAAGTAATTGAAGAAGATAGACTCTGTTACATTTAAACATGATGCTGTTTTTGCTCCATTTTGATTGAACGCTTTTTCTGATCAACCAGCTGGGTATGGCTGCTAGTATATATATATATATATATACCATCACTGTCTTGTCCGTATATTGCTTAATATGTTGTAATTGACATCTTTGATAATGGCTTAAGTAAGCCGAAAGCTTAGATTGTATTAAAAAAATATGGATCAATATTGTGAATTTCTTTCTTCATTCAATGATAATGTTATTAAACTTATCAGATGTTATGAAAAAAATTTACATAAAATAAATAGACAACACTTGTCTATATTATTTAATGAAACGTATATATATATATATATATATATATATAATTATTTATTTAAAAATATGATTCCAACTCACGACATGAGGTCTCATGTTTCAAAACAAGAGCCGAAAACTTCAATATAATTATTTGAATTAAATTGAGTTAAAGTAAGCTCTGTTCCATCTTCAACTGAAATTTTTTTTGGAATAACGTATTTCTGAAATTTACGTGTTTTAATAATTGAAATCAAAATTTCCATGGTAACAGCTAGGGCGAATTGTTTAAATTGGGTAGGCATGTGTTGGGTGTTAATAATAAGTATCAGTATAGAGTTACTTTCATAGACGTCAAGTCAGGGAAAGGTGGGGGTGTCTAAATTTGAAACGGAAGATGTATTAACCCTCGTCTAGTTTGCATGTCTATGGAGATTTATTTATTTTTTTATTTTATTTTTTTATGATGAAAGGGATTTGTGCATATAAAAAAATTCCTCACATATATATATATATGTGTGTGTATATATATATATATATATATATTAGGTTGGTGCAAAAATAATGACGTAATAATGTCGTTTTTTGATGTTAAAAAATACGTCAAAAAACAACATTATTACGTCATTATTTTTTGCACCAACTAATAATATATATATATATATATATATTAGTGCATTATTAGTGCAATAATCAAACAAAAGTGGATATGTCATAAAATCCAATTATGCAAACCTTACTTGACAAGTAGGAGCAAATGGAAAACAGAATGCCACAAATTTTGATGAGAGGAAGTAGTGAAGAACCATGATTACAGATGTCCTGAAGATATATGACAACTTGAGAGAGAGAGAGAGAGAGAGAGAGAGTATGCGTATAAATGGCAGACAGTATTAAAATAATAACAAATTCAATTTTGATATTTATAAAAAAAATGATTTTCTAAGCCTAGTTTGGACGTGGTACAAAGCTGGAAGTATAGGGCACCCTGTGAGGATTGAACTCACTCTCTAGTCACTATTTATATTTCATTCTTTGATGAAGCTTTGATGAAAGTGAAACATGTTAGATTGATAAACGTTTCCTATTTGTATTTTATCATATCATTCTGTCGGATTCTGATCTGTATTTGATCCCAACTCATATATGTGTATGTACGCTTGTTGGATGCATGATAGTATCTGAAACAAAAGTGAAGATGATGAGATGAAGTAGAAAATTTATTAGCAATGCATTTCCCTGAGAATGTCTATTCTTATTGGCTTCCTCAGGTTAGAATGAAAGAAAGACAAAACTGTATGTTAGGAATAATGCCTTGGGATCTCTGAGGTTAACTAGTGGCCATAAATCAAATTAAATTAAATATGTTATCACCTCCAATGTCCAGACTTAAGAGGGTACCTGTCTGCTTGTTTGTTTTATCTATATTAGATGTGTTTGGTGTTGTTAGATATATATATATATATATATATATATATATATATATATAGAGAGAGAGAGAGACAGAGAATTTTGGCATATATATATATATGAAGAAAAATACAGAAAAAACAAACAAAAATCTTAATATGCAATTATGCTGTATTAATGTTAATATAAAGTCGATGTCGGAAGATCAGCGTTCCATTTAAATATGATCACGTTGTCGTCATGTGGGCGATGTGAAAACGTATTCGAAGATGATTTCCAAATATTAAAATATTAAAAAAGTCAAATGAACTATTTTATATAAACAGTAACTGTTTATATAAAATAGTTCAATCGACGCTGATCTTATATAAAAATTTCAGTTATCTGTTTGGATTAGTTGTGCTCTTATTTCCATCGTCTTTTGTGTTAAATTTTTATATGTTCTAATGTTAATTATGTTTAAATGAAAATGTCCATGAAGATGGTCTTAAATAGACTGAAACGTCCGACGTCGACTTTATATTAACATTAATACAGCATAATTGCATATTAAGATTTTTGTTTGTTTTTTCTGTATTTTTCTTCATACTGTCAGATCTATATCCATATATTTGCTGACATATATATATATAAAATAAATGCAAATGCCAGTGTGTCACACTTTTTTCAACTTTACTCCCAGAGGCCATACCCCAACATTTCATACCATTTGGGAATCAGGCCGCAAATTAAAAATGAAGAAGATAGACTGTTACATCTAAACATGATGCTGTTTTTGCTCCATTCCAATTGAATGTTTTTTTTCTGATTGACCAGTTGGGTATGGCTGCTAGTATATATATATATATATATATATATATATATATATATATATGTTGCAATAATCAAACAAAAATCAATAAAATATATGATAATTAGAGAGAGAGAGAGAGAGAGAGTGTGTATAAATGGCAGACAGTATTAAAACAACAATAACAAATTCAATTTTGATATTTATAAAAATGGTGATTTTCTAAGCATAGCTTGGATGTGGTACAACGTTGAAAGTATAGGACACCCAGTGAGGATCGAACTCACTATTCAGCCATAATTGATCTTGTGTTGCTATTTATAAATATGACAGAAAAATAATTCAACTAGTTTTAATGAATATTCAAATCTTCTTCTAGGCACCGTATCTCTTTCGGATGTGGGTGATCATGGCTCTCCACAATTTCTTATCCTTTGTAACTCTTAGTAAGGTTTATCTTTGTAATATAACTCTTGTTTCATGTGGCTTTCTATGTTGAAACACCAGTTCTTGTAAGTTAAGCAACAGCGAGCCTTGTCTGTACCTAGATGAGTGATCACCTGAGAATATCAGGTCGTGGAAGCTTGAATGTGTGGGCTGTGTAATGGATGATGGCTTGAAAATTGAAATCAGAAAGTCAACTGGGTTTTCTTGCCTTGGTTGGTAATCAGTCTAGGAGAATGACAACTGAATTTTAAACCAGCTGGTTGTGGTACTGGCAACTCCATCTGGTAAAACTTTACCCACTATACAAACCACAGAAGCACCCAGTGTGATAAGACTATGGCCCTATTCACCATAGGAGGAGAAAAAGTGCTCAAAAAGAAAAGGGGGGTGGGTATAAAAAATAACAAGATCTGATGATGCAAATATTTACTCAGAATGATGGTACCAAAATTTTATTCATTGAAAATAGGCATACAAACTTAAAAAAGTCATTGCAATTAGGCATAATTTTAAAAACAAACTGTTTTCACCTCTTTTTGTTAAAGAGTTCCAAACAAAAGTCTTAGCCCCAACCCATAGTTCAACATTTGGCTCAGTGGTTAGAGAAGTGGATAAACAGCAAACAGATGAGTTGTCAAAGGCTCTAAGGCTAGTGATTGGTAAGAAATATTAAAGAGTGCTTAAAAGCAAAGTATAACCATTGATATCAAAAATATATCATATATATATATATATATTATATATATATATATAATATATAAATATATATATAATATATATATAACTTTAATATCAATGGTTATATAGCATACTGGAAAACTATATTTTATCACATTTATATATATATATATATATATATATATATATATATATATATATGTTTGTGTGTGTGTAAATGTGATAAAATATAGTTTTTACTGTATGCTATATTTATGGGTAAAAGTGCTCAATATCAGGTATAGAGTGTTTGTAAATATAAAAGTGGAAACTGAGGTCAACACCAAGCAGGGACAGTCTGTTTCATGCCTCAACACAGTCTTCAGGACTTCTATATTTATATGAAAACAAGTCACTTAACTTTTCTTCATTTATTGAATATGTGATGTGGACATAGGAATCAACACTGCATGGTGACAGCCAGTTTCACACTTCTTCATCTGTCTATATCTATAACTGATCTATCTCTGATATTAAGCACACTTTCCTTATAAATATAGCAAATTTTAAACTATATATATATATATATATATATATATACAAGCACAAGTATGACCACTGATATTAAAGTCATATATATGTATACATATGTAGATAGATGAAGTATAGATATAGGAACTGACACTTCATGATGACAGCCATTTTCATACATTATGACATGAAAAGGACAGTTTATATGTAGTGTTGATTCCTATGTCCACACTGTCTTTACCCATAAATGCTACATCCCTTATATCAAGTGCTCTTCCATTATAAATATAGCAATTTTAATGACATATGTCTGTGTGTGTGCTGAAAAATTCTAGGCCTGACCTACTTGGTCTGAAGATGGCACTGAGGTATGAAAATGACAGTCTCCATGCACTGTTGACACCTATGTCCACACTATCTATAAATAGCGAATTTTTAAAATATATATATATATATATATATATATATATATATATATATAAATAAAAGATTTGGTATTAATTATATGTGTGCATGTAACAAAGTATACAATAGAAACCAAAGTCACTGTCATATGAGCGAGAGATTACTTGGCCGCTAATCTACAGCTCTAACCACAGAGTTCTTCCTACAGGACACAAGAAGATTTCTATAATTCTTTACCAACTAAGATCATCTTCTTTTTTCTTTTTTGTCATTGGCTCAGAAAATGTCATGTCGTCATCTTCATTCCAGTCGATATCATCAATCAGCCAACCCATGTTGTCAGCAAAAGGATCACCTTCACTCTTGGATGGTCCAGTGGTCAGAGTTCCTGCCTCTTTGTCCACAACTTTGGCATCTTGCTTTGGGAAGAATGATGTCACCTCAGGCTGGTGAGTGGGAATATCTGTAAAGTGAAAGCAAAAGAAAAAAAATAAATAAAATAACAGAAAGTAAAAAACAGTTTTATCGAATGATGGCATCCTAAATTTCCAGGAACTGGTTCTATAAAGGCAAATAATCTTTAAGAACCTATTTTGCTTATTTTCTTTTCAATCTGAGAATGGAAGCAAATCATTTTATGTAGTATGAAAAACCATTTTGATAATTTAATAGAAAACATTTATTAAGATATTTCCAGATTGAAATTCTATTCTCATCATATTTTTGTTCAGAAGAATGTTGCTTTTTTGACTCTGGTGTCAGCAGCTGTTTTATATATTTGTTGTATCGAAAAATACAATTGTGGCACAAGGCCTGAAGAGGAGAGGGATGAGGCTGGTCTTCACTGACTAATCAGCAGCTGTTTTATGGTACCTTAGTCACATTTAAACTGAATCACTGCGATCTTAAAGATTCAATGGAAACCTATCAAATTTATGATTAGAAGATTTGCTACATATTTTTCACTTGGCAAGTGCACACAACTGTAGCTTAACTAACATTTTATTTAGACCATTGGCTATTAATATATAAGATTATTTTTGGATAATCCAACAACTGATTTGCTAAGCTTTTATAATTTTAGGAATTGGTTTACGTGAACTGGTAGGATGCCACTGCTGATTTTACCCATAATTTTGACCTTGAAAATACAATAGAAAATTAAAGTGACAGACTCTTTTGGTTGAATTTAATAAAAGCTGCTGAGATAAATACTTGAGATAAATATATATATATATATATATATATATATATATATATATATATATATATATATATATATATAATAATCTTATAAATATAAGTAATTATACTTGTCTGGAAAAAACCTTAGGTGTTTTAGTTTGTAAATGAACAAACCAATACCCAAGGAAAAATAAGGAAAAAAAAAAAGAAGGAACTAAGAACATGTAATTCAGACGAAAACAACTGGCCAGAATCCAAGCTCAGACCAAAAAAACCCCTCCAACATGAGTAAAGCAAAAATAACTAAGCAAAGTGCTCAATATACTAAGTAGAGCAAATCTAACTATGAACCTAAAGAGCCAGGCAAACCTACCTAGGTTTCACCTACGCAGATCATCAGGGTACGCTGATGATCCACGTAGGTGAAACCTAGGTAGGTTTGCCTGGTTTTTTAGTTATATATCAAATACAGAGGAAGAACAGACATATTAAGAATCCACTGTTCTTAGCATTTACTTTTTTTTTTAAAAAGTGCTTGATACAACGTAGAGCAAAATATTATACTAATATTTTTATTATAAAATGTTTTACATCGCTACACAAAAATTTCTTTGTTTTAGAACATAATAATTGTTCCATTATCAGGCATTGTTGTGTAACTTATGATGAAAATGATTGTGAAATCAGAAAACAATTTGATAGCTTATTTGAGAGTTAAAAAGGTTGGGGGAACATGATTTCAAAATTTTGTGAGTATGTCTGTGTTGACCAATCAAAACAGAAAAGTGAGAAATTAAGTTGGAAGTCATGGGTATGTGGGTTATTGATTCATGTCCAGATGCATTGACATTTTTAAGGCATGTCACTATAGACAACATCCGGTTATGAATATACATATAAGATACAGTGAATTAGAAAGAGAGATATATTTACCAAAAGGTTAATTTTAAAGAATTTCAAGATTTAAAAAAAAAAAAATTATATATACTTGAGAACTATCTTAAAGGGCTCTCTAGTATGATTAAATCATTTTTACATATATTACTAGCAGTAGAGCCCGGCGTTGCCCGGGGATATAACAGTAAGAGATAGATCAAGTATCGACCATCATAAAGACTGAAAAATAAAATTGACAAAGATTATTGTTTAAGGTTGACAGACACGCATGTCTTAATTAGTTTTTTTTTTTTAATTAATTGGTCAAACCCAAACTCAAACAAAAACATTGTTTTCAATCATTATGAGTCTACTGATTGAATAGAATTTTATTATAAATAATTGTCTTGTAAAAAGAAAAAAGTGTGCAAGAGAATAAGAAACACTACCTGCCAAAAAAAAAAAAAAAAAAAAAAAAAAAAAAAAATGAAGTTTTGTTTCATCGTCTGAAAAATATAGGAAATCCGCTCCCATATTTAAAGTAATCCACACACAATCATACCCGATGTGATTTGTCCCCCTTCCATTTTCACGATGTCTCTTAATCGTGTTTTCAAATTGATTTTGTGCAAAAACAATTATATTTTTCCCATTTTGGCACTGTTAGAACCACCACAAGGTAATTTTATGTAGTCCTGTGAAGTTTTGTTGAAATCGGTTGAAAAATGTAGGAAATCTGATCTAATATATAAACGTTACAGACACGCACACACACACACAATCTGCGTTTTATAATAAGTAAGATTTTGAATCCAAAATACAATACTTATTATGTTGAATGGGCAATAAAGCATGGCAATATTAAAATTGAAAAATCAAAGAATTAAATAAATATTATATAGGCCATTACATATTAATAAAATGATTGATATACACTGCGTGCCAAATTATTATCGAGATAACTTTTTTCTAATATTTCAAAAACCGTCCAATCAATTCACACAAAATTTTCACACAATGTTGGCAACATGGACCTGCGCAATCACTGAAATTTTTGTACTGATCTGCACAATGTAAACAAACTGGCGCCATATTTGTTATCAGCATGGTAATTTGAGCGTGCCAAATTATTAGAACAGTGTAAGAATTTAGTGATAAGATGGGCCGTAAAAGCAGTTTAAGTGATGCTGAAAAGAAAACTATCACCTCAGAACTCTCAAAAGGTAAATCTACCTAGAAATTTCTAAAATTATAGGAGGTGTCATCAAACAGTGAAAAAGTTCACCGCCGACCCTACACAAGAAATGCATAAAAAGGGCAGAAAAAGGCAAGCCAAAGGTTATTTCACATCGTCTCATGTCATGACTTAAACGAGAGGCCACGAAGAACCCTGGACTTACCAGTCAAGAGCTTTTCATTCGCATTGGGGATCCTACTGTGTCTAAAAGTACTCGGTGTCAGTATCTGAGGGAAATAGCAACAACAGTCAAACCTGTATCAAAGCCTCCATTGATGAAAAATCACATTCAAAATTGATTGAAATGGGCCGATGACAATATGAAGATTGACTTCTCTAAAGTTTTGTTCACAGACGAAGCTCGAGCAACACTTCATGGGCCAGATAGATGGTGCAAAGGCTGGGTAATGAACGGAAAGAATCGCCATCAGTGTTTGAGACGCCAACAAGGCGGTGAAGGCATAATGATCTGGGGTGGTATTATTGAAAAAACATTAGTGGGCCCATGGAGAGTACCAGATGGTGTCAAAATGACTGCTGATGCATACATAGCGTTTATGAAGGAGCATCTTGAACTGGGGATGAAAAGGCAAAGAGTTGTCTTCAGAAGGGCCATTGTTTTTATGCAAGATAACGCTCCCTCACATGCTGCTCACAAGACTACTGAATATTTGAAACAGTTAGGCTTCGATGGACCTCGAAAAATGAAGTGGCCAGCATTCTCCGGATTTGAACCCAATTGAAAACCTTTGGAACATCATGAAGCGAAGACTGTACGCCAATGGACGACAATTCAGGAGCAACGCTGAGTTGTGGGAAGCAATTCTTGACATATCTCGCGGCATTACAGCAGATGACATCCTACAATTAACAAATTCTATGGACCATCGACTTCTTCAAGTAATTTCAAAACAGGAAAAGCACATTCCCTATTAATTTGTTTAAAACTGTGCCTTTGTTTGTATCTGTTATTAATTGTTTGATTATATTTATTAGCTTCTTTTGATTATAAACATTCACATGCAACATTAATAAACATTTTGTTTGCTCAATTCTGGGAATTTTACTAAACCTTTCTAATAATTTGGCATGCTCAAATCAACGTGCGCATAACAAATATGGCGCCAGTTTGTTTACATTGCGATATTATTGATTATACGGTTTTTGAAATATTAGAAAAAAGTTATCTCGATAATAATTTGGCACGCAGTGTATAATTGTAATGCATAGATTTTTTATAAAAAATTCTATTAATTATATTTTAAAGAAAAACATTATACAATGCCTACAAATTACTGTTAATTGATTTTGCTGATTTAGGAGATCATTATTTTTAGGAAACTTAATAATATGCAGCTTTTCATGTAGACACAGGGGACATGGGTCATTTAAAGACTTACAAATTGTTGTTTTTTTTTTTTTAATATTTTCCATTTTACTGTAGGGGTTTTATTAATTTCTTTTAAATACCAAGAATATTTAGATAGGGATGTTCGGTTACAGTACGCATTGTTGTTAAAAGAAGATATATGTTCATACCACCTTTGTTTAAAAGATTTTTTGTGCTACCAATATAAAATTTCTTAATAGCTGGGTTTTCAGTAGATGAAATGGTGCACTGTTAAACAGTAGATTCTGTAAGATATCTTTTTTGCAATGGACAATTTATGGGATTTCTACAATTACCTAATTTATTATTATTTTTAGTTTTTGCTTATTATTGATTTTATGTAATATAAATGTATTTTCAACTAATATCTGTCTAATCTGTGATTGTGGGCATGAGTGTTCCTTTATATGCTGAGATATTGACTATGCTTAGCCAAATGAAATGTAAATTTTTTTGTTAGCATTGTCGTAGTAAACCCAACTTACATATCGACATTTTTATCAGAGATACAATCTCCTAAATGACATCTAAATTGATATACAGTGTTGGCTTTTTGCAAGAAGGTTTGTTTTGTTTTACAGCATATCCACCTCAATGGGTTATTTAATGCCGACAAAATTTTTATTGCTGGTAATATGTTTTTCTTCAAAAACCTATTTCTGGGAACAGTTTTCCTTGAAGAAATCTATAGTTGGTCATATTTTTTCAAAGAATGTATAACTGTTAGTATTGCTAGTATTTTTCTTAAAGTATTGCTGATAATAATTTTTCCTTC